TCTATCTATCTATCTATCTATCTATCTATCTATCTATCTATCTATCTGTCCAATCCAATTTCCAGGACTGCCCATCTCAAGCAAGTTATTCTCGGCCATGAACAATCCTAAAACAGATAAAAATAATTACAATATAGTGCAAATTAAATATGTATGGCAGCCAAGAAGAGGCATCATAGATATCAATATAGCCAGGAAACAGGTCTCTTCAAATCTCAGAACTTTGAGAAATTGGTCTGCCGGCACATCATTTCTGGTAATCCGCATACATTTGATAAACATCAGTTTGCATACAGAAAAAAATAGATCTACAGAGGATACTATAGCCATCACTCTTCACACTGCTCTGACTCATCTAGAACAGCAGGGGTGGGGGGCTATGTGAGGATGCTTTTTGTGAATTTTAGTTCTGCGTTTAACACAATTCTTCCACATAGACAAGTGTCTAAACTTCTGGACCTTGGGCTTTCTAATTCAATCTGCCTTTGGATTATGGATTTCCTGTCTGGCCACTCACAGAGGGTCAGATTAGGTAATCATACCTCTTCAGCCCTTATTCTTAACACTGGTACACCACAGGGTTGCATGTTCAGTCCCTTACTCTATACTCTTTATGTGCATGACTGCATTCCCACTCACGCTAGTAATACTATTGCTAAATTTGCAGATAAAACAACAACTTATCTCCGGGGGGGATGAGTCTGCCTACCGAGATGAGCTGGACCAGTTGCTTTCGTGGTGTGGAGACAATAACTTGGTCCTCAACACCAATAAGACCAAGGAGCTTATAGTGGATTATAGAATGAACAGATCAGACATCCAGCCCTTGCTTATCAATGGAGAGCGAGTGGAGCAAGTGGCCAGTTTTAAGTTTCTGGGTATTACCCTAAAAGAGGACCTGACCTGGGGTGCCCACATTGCAGCCCTGGTCAAAAGGGCCCAGCAGAGATTATACTACCTGAGACTTCTCAGGAAATAACAACTGAATGAAAAACTGCTGGTGACCTTCTACCGCTGCACCTGAGAGAGCATTTTAACATACTGCACCTTTGTGTGGTTTGCCAATTGCACAGTGGCAGATAGGACAGTGCTCCAGAGGGTTAATGCCATTGCCCAGAAGATCATTGGTTGCCCTCTCCCCTCTTTGGAAGAGCTTTATAGCTCTTGTTTAATGTGATAATTGGTGCATTCAGTCGTTATCTGGTGGCATAAATTTTTGTATCGGCTTTTGAAGTTGGCAACGTGACTAGATTTGTTTTTCCGCCAAAGTGATCTCTTTTTGGATTGAAGCTTCCTTATTGTTATGGTAATCTGTTTTTTTCTGGGTTTTGGAGTTGTTATTGGTACATATAGTTTGATGACTCTTTTGACTTCAAGTAAAAATATGTTGTAATGCTCTTCAACAGTATTGCATCCAGTGAATACAAACTGCCAATTAAGGGATGAGAGATCATTGTCTATAAGATCATAGTTGCCTTTTTTGAAGTTATAATTGGGGATCACATCGTTGTGTTGATTTTTGTGTGGACGTATGTTGAGACAAAAGTCAATCATGTTGTGGTCACTGTTGGAAAAGGGCTCTTTAATTTGTATTCCGTAAATTGAATTCAAACTATTGCAGAAGATGAGATCGAGGCAGTTGTTAAGTCTAGTATTGTTGGTTACTAGTTGTTCCAGTCCCAGGTTTGTTGCAGCATTGTAGAAGGTTGCATGTATGGGTTCAGTTTTACAATCAGCTGAGTGGGAATTTAAATTCAGGCTGACTAATCAGCTAGGTTGTTTAAATGGAGCTGGGTGATTTATATGGAGACTATAAATTCTCCGTGAGTCTCCTTTGTTCTCCCCAATTGGTGGCCGTTTAGAATTATTTTTGGTGATTTGATTTAAATAGAGACTGTAGACATCATTCCAGTTCTTCCATCTTCAGAATTCACACTCAATCTCAGTTTCAAAAGGCAGTTTTCCTGAATAAAAACCTTCTTCACACCTCTTCTACATCCCGCATCCCACATCCCGCGGGAACACAAGGCTTGCATCACTTGCATTGTGAACAACATGAGGTAGTGAGGGGAGGGGGGAAAGGGCAATGGGGGGGAGAACTTGCCCCACTCGCCACACACACCTCGCATGGCCACCGGGCTGCTTCCTTCCACTTCTTTCTTCTTCTGCTTTTGGCTGCACACAAGGAAAGCAGCCAAAGTCTTTCTTTCTCCCCCAAACTCCGCCAGAAATGAGTCTTTGGGACCTTGCAAGGCATCCTGCTCCAAGAGGCTGCGCCAGTGCGACAAGTCTCACAAAGACTCATTTCTGGCAGAATTTGGGGAGAGAAAGAAAGACTTCTGCTGCTTCTGCTGCTTTCCTTGGATGAAGCCAAAAGTCTCTTTCCCTCTGAAAATGGAGCTAGAGACAGTATCCTGTGATCCCAAATAAAGAATGATCAATTGGTAGGAAAACGGAGTGGGGAATTTTCCTGCAGACTTTTGGGGGGATTTTCCCAGGGTCTCTGGTCTGCGGGATTTAAAATTATGAATTTGGTGGCCCCTGAGGTCCAAAATGTTGGCGACCCCTGCTATAGCCAATCAATGTTATGGGTTCCTGAAGGTTTACTTTGATTGCTGAAAAAGCCGTCCTTTTTTTTTTTTTTTTTTTTTTAAACAAGTTTTATTAATTTTTAAAACACACAAATTGTCATTATTCATTACATGTTTAAACCTTTTTTCATTGTCAATTTAACAAGTCAGATAAATTATAATTCTGTTTTAAACCATTTCCATACAACATACCAAAACCTCTTATTCAATTTCTCTTTACTTCTCTTTACTCTTATTCAATATCATTGTTATTATTTCATCTGTTTCTTTCTGACTTAGTTACCATTATTCTCAATCTATATTTCTACAATTTTTAACTAATTCTCCCCCCAAAAAGACATATACACACAACACACAAAACATAAAAAAAAATCTTTTTGGAAAGTAACTTGGACCCAGGTGTCTCTCTCTTCATGGACTTCAATTATATTCATGCTCATCTTACATATCATTACTTATTTTATTTACCATTCTAAGCCTTCTATATTAACTTCCCCACATATTTCACACTTCTTACTTCTATCTTAATTAATCATCTTAATTTGAATCATTATATTTATATCTTTTGTCCATTTTTTATCATCCCTTTGTCTCATTCCTTATAAAAAAAAAAGAAAATAAGTTTCTCCTGAAATCATTAATCAGAGTATGATGCCTTTCTATCTCCCCCCTAAGTTAATCAAATTAATCTTTAAAATAATATCTAATACCCAATCCGATTTTGCTTGGTACATTCTATCTAACTAATACATCCAACATAATTAAGTACATAATTAGACAATAAATCCAAATAATAAAAAAAGATACTATAATAAAAATTTTATAATAACATCAATACCATAGTCCTATTAAACTCTTTAATTAAAACAATATTCTAAACCTCCCCTATTATTAAATTTTAAAGCCAATCATTTTTAAACATTTTAATATTTTAATCTCTTATCAACTCTTAAATCATTACAATACTACCATCTCATCTTATGTACCTTGCAAAATCTTTTTTTTTTTTAAAAAAAATTATACTTTATCCATTATCCAAAAAAAGCTTCTTTTTTTCATTTAATTTCAAGACATTGTAGCTTTTCTCCACCTTTTCCCTTTCTTTCTTCTCCCAACAAACCTTTCTACCCCCCCTTCTTCTAGCCTCTGCCTTGCCAGCTTCCCTTCTCTGTCGTATTCCTTTTCCCCTTTGTTTACTATCATCATATTGGTTTTGCACTTTATTTTTCCCTTTCTTAAATGTTTTTTTAGATCTTAAGTCCTTAAGTCCTTTAGTTTTCTTCTTTTCTCTTCTTTTCTTTTCTTTCTCTCTTCCTTCTTTCTGGATCAAGTTCTGAGATTCATTAAAGATGGCTCCTTTCTTTCTTTCTTGTTCCTCTGCTGTCTTCATCTGTTGTAATGTTTGTTGATAATTAATAAGCGCCATTTCTAAGAAAAGGAAAGCTTCTTCCACACCATCTTTACCATTTTTTTTTGCTTGTTCATATTCTTTTCTTAGTTCCTCAACAGAAAGAGCCATTATAAATCTTTTCTTTTCTTTTCCCCTTCTTTCTTCTTACAACAAAACCAAGGCAGAATTCTCACTTTCTCCTTCTGGGGCAATATCAATCCAAGAGAAAGAAAGTCCAAATCTGTTTAAAATCTTATTGCAATATATTCTAGTCTTCAAATCCTTAAGGCATCTGCTCCAACAAATCTTAGCATACAAATGTTTTCTTTTTAATCCTCTCTCTTCCCACTCATCGCTTAAAACCAATTTTTACCTAAAAGAAATAGGTTTCTTAATATCCAGTTATTTATTCCGTAGGAAAAGAGGGAAAGCTATCCTTTCAGCACCTTCACAGCCGCTTTTTTCCTCTTCTGGCAGGTATTATTCAAAAAGTCATACTTTTCAGGAGTTTTATTAGATATGTCTTAGAGTCCTAGGAGCCAAGAAAAACTTTCTCCTCTCAATCACTTTCTCCACTTCCTCCTGCGCATTCTTACCCGGCTGCCAGCTTCTTTGTGGCGGCCATTACAGACCGCCGCTGCACCGTCCTGGGAAAAGGGAGTTCTGCCGGCCAGGGAGGGAGTCTGCAGCACCCCCAAACCCTTCTCCGGATCCCCCCTACCTTCAGCTGCCCCTGCAGGGCAGCCTAGCTCCGTACCCGGCTGGGTCGGAGCCCCAAAAACGGCTAGCGCGGCAGGGATCGCGCAGCTTCGCAAATCCCTGCCGCTCGCGAAGCCGACAAACCGGAAGCTCCCCTTTTTTTTTTTTTTTTTTTTTTGCTAGTCTTGAGCAATGCTTAAAATAAACATCTCTGGAAACTTTTGGTTAATGTTCAAGGGAATATTTCCACACCATTCTGCAATATGATGATATAAATACAGGTGAAGCTAAAAAAATTAGAATATTGTGCAAAAGTTCATTTTTTTCAGTAATGCAACTTAAAAGGTGAAACTAATATATGAGATAGATTCATTACATGCAAATCTCTCCTGGCTCTTGCTAGGCTTTGGGAAACCAGACCCTGCACACTAAGGCAGCAAGCTTCAAGAAGAACTTCCTAAAACCTATTCTTTGCTTTAACCCCTCCCTCACACACATTTCTTTGATAAAATAAGAAAAGCTGGGAGGGACAGACTTGTTGATCTTTTCTGTGCTAAAACTAAACTCCCTCCCTCTGCCCTCCAATCTCTATCCCCTTTTACAATTTAATTTGCTAAATTTAACTGCATGCTGGAAAGAGGGTGGCAAAACCTGGAAGCTATTTATCTTGAGTCCAGGCTGAAGAGTAAAGGGATGAAACAAGCAAAGAAAACCTTTCTGCAGCTTTTTGCCTTGAGGAAATGAAGAAAACATTCAGCTCA